ATTTGCATAAATTTATCAGTTGTCAAAAGTTTTGTTTGTCCACAAGCAACATCTATTTCATCTTTGACAGACTAAAACAATATTCATATATGTATGTCATTTTATATAATGATAACTTTTAAGTTTAGAAAATTTCTACAAATATTTTAAAATAGTATTTATATAATACTATATTTATTAGTTAATAAGTTAATTAGTCAATATATAAACATTGATGAGACAATTATATTGAAACTATAATTTACTTGTGGAATATCATTGCCATTTCCAGAAGATAATTCTGTCCAATATTTTACTTTATTCTGTAGTTCAATAGTTTTTCTGTCCAAGTTTTTCCTATGACATTAATACAAGAAAAATATATAGTTATCATTTAACTAAAAACACTTATTCAAATGTTTTAACAATTCATATAAATACAGAAGGTATTTGTTTAATATGCATACCTGTAATTATCAGCAACAGTGTTATCTTCATATTTATCATAGAGTTCAGATAATTTTGGAGGTTTCCGAGGACTTGGTTTCCACTTTTGGCCACGTGTTGTACAAACAAAAGGACTTAGCACAATTTCAGGAACTTCTGGTTTCATTACATCAATTGTATTATTAAGATTTTCTACATCAATATCTCCTTGTAAATTATTTTCTTTTTCAATCAATGTTGAAGTATCATCTTTTACAATTTTTATTTTATTCAATGTGGTTTTAGTGTTGGATTTTTCCTCAAACTCTTTTAATTCTTTAATTGTACTTAGAATTATTTTTGGTTTTTTAATTGGAATCATTAACGATGTATCAGTAGGTTCAACATTGATTTTGACAAGCTTAAGAGGTTTACATTCATTGGTTTTATTTGTTATCTTAGATATTTTGGATGTCTTCAATGTCTTTGTTTTTGAAATGGCATGATCAACGACCAACTCTTCATCTAGAATAATTAATTATAAAATAGCTTTAATTATTGTTGCACTAGTGATTGTATAACAACTATCTATATTATTATAGTAGACTATCCCATTTTTAATGACCTGTAAACTCTCTGAGACCCACTTCAGTATTACTTTAAGGATTCATTTAAATTCTACAGACTCTGTCATTAAATCATAAAAATAGTTATAATTTAAATAAATTTCAAATTAAATTAGCATTTTAATTATTATTTGATCATAATGATTTAAAAACTTTTGGTGTCTATTATTGTGAAATAATTTAAAACTTAGGAGAGTATATATCCTTCAGGTAAACATGATGTTGACCCAGGAGARTACCACCGACATACCTAACTATTTTAGCATATAAAATTGTATAATTGAAAATTCAATTGAGTTTTAAGTTTACAAAAAAACATTTAAAAATATAAAACCAATTTCAATAGATATCAGATATGATTATTTTTTAATGAATGTTGTAATTGAATTAAGAGTATTAGTAAGGCTTATGCTAGACTTATTATCAGTCCAGACTAAGAACCTACTTTAATTCTACCAAATTAATTTATCGAGTGGCACCACTAGGCCTATACCTTATATATTTGTAATTATTATTATTGTAAGTAAATCATCAAAATTAACCATTGCACATACATTTTTTATAAATTTAAAATGTATTTTTAAATTTGTTTAAATACTATTTATTTATTTGTCTTGGCTTTACACTCTCATTCTTTTCTTATTTCATTGTTAAAATATTAATCACTTTTTTATTTCTAACATTATAATATAACTTCAAAAGCACAACTTTTTATAAACATCAGTAAATTAAGACAATAGATAGTCAGAGATAAAATATCTGTAATTGAAACCTATATTTCATATAGTATTTATAACAAATATAAATAAATTAATATAACTTACTTTTTTTTAGTTCTATATTTTGTTTTTTCTTTCCAATTGGAATTCTGTTTTCCTTCATTATATTTCGAG